ACTACTACTACTACTACTACTACTACTACTACTACTACTACTACTACTACTACACACAAGCACACACACGCAAGCACGCGCGCTGCGTGCGTGCACACCCTCATCTAAACGCACACATACATACATTGCTACATGCATACATGAACTAACACAAGCAAACAGTAACAGACAGCCTCGTACAGACAGACTAAAGGAGACAGGTCAGCACTATAATTATTGTAGGTCGTATAGTTTAAGAGACACATACCTCTTGGTGTCACTAATTAACCTCCACAAAAACACACACACACATATATATACACCCAAACACACGTTTTCACAAACCCTACTCTCTCTCAAACCCACAGAGAAACACACACACACACACACTCACACACACACACACACACACACACACACACACACACACACACACACACACAAACACACACACCATCACCTGTAAGCATACGCACACACATACACACACTCACACTCACACACCATCACCTGTAAGCACACACACACATACACACACTCACACCCACACACAACCACCTGTAAGTACACATGCATACATTACAAATCAATACATACAAACACAAGCAAATACTAACATTCGCGCGCTCATATGACTTTATGCAGTTGCGAGCGCCGTAAAACCCTGAACTAAACAAACAAACAAATACTAACAGACAGCCTCCGATAGACCCACAAAACCTAATAATTGTAGAGCGTATTGATGGAGAAAAACACATACATGCAGATGTCCCTAATTACCCCTCACGATTTATACTTTAAGCCTACTTTGCCTATCATTCTAGGCTGCAACAAGCTGTTTTGTTTCTGAATTATACTGCCGTAAAGTGACAAAACTTCTTTTTTTGTAATTTGATGACAATCTTTTTTATTTGCTACATCAACAACCTGATTAAGAGATAGTATATAGATGGAGAGACAGGGACAACGAGAGAGAGAGGGGAGAGAGAGAGAGAGAGAGAGAGAGAGAGAGAGAGAGAGAGAGAGAGACGTCAAGCATATTAAATTGAAAAGCAGTTTTTATGTACCGTACTTTCATCACACGTCCAAAGTAATTCAGACTGAATTAGTTTATGTTCTACTGCTTTATTTTGTTATTGAATATACAATTTGACATCAAATGAAGAGATGACGTTATAATGAATCTATATCACATGATTCATGTTGAAAGTTTTCTACCCCCTCTCCAAAAGCCAACAAACAAACGAACAAACAAACAAAAGCATTTTTCCCCCTCGAAATAGCAGAGTTTTTTTCAAAGCTAAAGCAAGAAAATAATGATAGTCACACAATAATCCTCTCGAGTTAAAAGACCTTAAATGTATAAACAGCGCAACTGCCACAATAAATGAAAGACTCGGCAACTGAAGAAACGAATCCGCCTTCTAGTCAGGACAACTTTTGCAACTTGGCTGTGAACATATTTTACCGTCCATTTTGCCTTGTTAAAACCACACTTTTCAAGATATACTTCATTATATACATTTTAAATTGTAGATCTACATTTTTTAAAAACAGGATGAAAAATATGATATGATATGGTAATCTATCTTTTTGAGATAATATTAGCAAGATGCTGGACTGCAGTTTATAATGTCGACAGATTTAAGAGTTTTGTCCTATTGGTTCTCTCAAATTGCCTCAATAAGGACCGTTAGTTGGATTAGTCATGTTCAAGCGCGGTTTTTTCACTGAGCAAGACCGGTGGTGCCGGTCACTTTTTGTGTGTCGGCTGTACAGTGGACAAGAGATTGTTTGCTAACGATAATTTGTATTTAGTTTCAAGTAAATACACATTAATATCAGGCGCGGTTCGACCATAGAGCATGGTCGTGCACTGCCACCCAGATTGTAGTTATTACTAGAGTGTTCAGTTCCAACACAGGATGAACGAAATTGATGTTTAGCTAACAAACAAATTTAGTACTAGTAGTACTAGAAATTAAAGCGACAAGTGAAAAGAATGAAAATAAAAGCACGAGGTCCTACCTCATCAACACAAAGATTCTACAATTATGCACCGTCTCATTTACTATGCCCTTGAGTATCTTCAGCATGCGATAGCTTAATTGTGCATGTCCACTTTTTAGCCCCACGAGCAGCCCCTGATTAATATCTAATCAACGTTCAAAAAGCGCTCAGCCGATTTGAAGGCGTTCGGAGAGACAATAGTGGCTTTTTGGTGTGTTGTCACACCACAGAGACTCGTTCCATCATCTTTGTTTATCACACCGGCTCGTATGTAAATCGCCCATGTCACAATGTGAAACCTATCTGCGTGATGCGAGAGGTCTTTCCGAACAGCGCCTGCGCCGCGGAGACATCAGCCTCAAAGGGAATTCTGAATTCAGCTTTTGCCTAAAGAGCTTAAAAAGAGGGCTTCAAATTGCCAATTGGCCTCTCTGTTACTTACAAAAGAAGGACACGTCTGCAGTACTAATATATACTATTTTACGTATTTTCACCAGTTACATTCATCATTCAACCTGTCTCTAATTACTCCTTGTACTTCTATCGTTGGCATTATATATAATTATTTATATTGGGTTTTACGCCATCCATTGTTCCGTTTTGTGTTCTCTTCGTGACCTACTTTCCGGAGTTACCTTACTTGGCCAGGACCCTGGACCGGCGATCCTTCGTTCCGCCCAGTAATTTCATAGGGGGAATTTTAACGAGGAGAGGGAAGCGCCCCATTCGGCAGTAAGGGTCTGGGCCCAAAACAGTACACCCTCCTCCTCCCCTGCCCCTTTTCCCCCTTTCCTTTCTTCCACCTTCACCCCAGCTAGACCCAAATTTTTATAATTAGCATTTGGCACAGTTCTCCCAGAGCAGTGTTCTGAGAGCAGAGAAGAGCAAAGAAGAGAAGAACTTTTGAATCGGATAGGAAATTGTCGTGGGCTAAATTTGTTCAGTGTGTATGTGGCTGTCTGTTTAGTAGGCTACAGTGCGCAGTACAGGTATCTGATTCTAGACTTCATCAGCAGGGGACAGCGCCATTGGTAAGGTATCAATTGACAGCACACATGTTTCATATTTTTACATAGCAAGTGCATGTCGTGACTTTGCGTGCATGTGTGTGAAAAGTAGGTCTTTGGGTGATATACAGGGGCAGGGCTAAGAGGTGGTTGCTTCTCACTTTCAGTTTGTTTTCTAGTGGAGGGGCCTACCAAAAACGTATTTCTTGTTTCGTGCAGATCAAGTCAGTTTCTATCCATATTTCAGTGGCTGCAATCAATGTCTTGAAGCTCAGGTTTACATATTTGGAAGTTTGTAATGCAATGGATTTTCTTCTATTAAACCCTTATATTACTTATCTCTCTCTCTCTCTCTCTCTCTCTCTCTCTCTCTCTCTCTCCCACCCACTTATCACCCCCCCCTCCACAAGCAGAAAAAATCCTAAGCAAGGTACTGGTAGGTATAAAATTGAACGTCTGTCTGTCCGTCC